ATGTCACTAGGATGTATTTTTGCATGAACAGTAAGTAAATCAGTTAAGTGAGTCAAGGCTCGTCAATGGTTTTTTCATATTGGTATATAAGCACAAGCTATATCCAACATATAACAGTATACAGAGTCGCATGGTACCATGGATTTTAGTGCGTCAGACTAAAGGAGATTAAGTGAGTTAAGCTATATTCGACTAGCGTTAGCTGTCTTCGGATAGCTCAATAATGGTAAGTGATAGTGAGTGAAAGACGTAGAGTCATAAAACCTTTAATTTAGAATGTGGTTGCGTGAGATCTCTACTTTGTAAGGTTTACTCTCCACAAGAGCCAGATGTTACTAGTTTTGCTCAGCATGTGGCCGAATTCCAGTTGGGAGCACCTTAGATGCTCGATCTAGTGTGTATCACGTAAGTATATCACAAGTTAAAAGAGAAATATCTAAATTGCGTGGACAAGTATTGAATTAGAGTTGCGCAGTAGAAGCATAGAGTTTGATGTTAGGAAGTCGAGAATCGTCGTCCTATCTTTAGTAGTCAACATCAAGACTGTGTATGGCAAGTGTTTATAGGATCTCAGAGTGTAGTACGTTGAGTTACCTGATTTCAGCGAGCATTAGAGATTTATAGAATTGTGTAGTAAGTTAACTCATTTGAGTAAGGTTATCCAGTGATGGATTTAGCGATACTAGTTGAGTTGTGGAATGGTGTTTTACTAGCGGAGCGTTTTAAGAATTCAGTGTCAGGATGACAAGAGTAAGTTTTTTTTCAATCCAATTAAATTTCGATGATGAAATTTCTTTTAATGATGGGAGAGTTGTAACACTCCAAATTTTGGGTTAGTAGTTTTGAGTTTACTCTAGAGGTTTGTAGGCCCATTGATTTTTATAATTTAAGTCGTTGGGCTTAATTAGGTTGGAATTAGGCTCAATTAACCATAAAAAGGAAAAAACAATTTGGAGGAAAGATGTGGGATGACCAAAAGTATACTTATCCCATTTTTAAATGATAGAGACTTTTTATCTCTTTCATCTTCATCTTATCCCCATTTTCTTCCTCCCTCCTCTCATTTATCCTCAAAGTGTCATAGCTAAATGTGAGTCTTTTACACTATTTTGTACTTCTTGTAAGCTCCATTTTCGTTCCTAAACCCACCAACAAAATCATTTTAATGTTTGAAAACAGTAGGGTTCTTTGGTTGCAAGAAAAATGGGGTGTTTGTCATCCAAGTGTTGGTGGAGAGTGATTTCTAGCTAAAGGAGCTTCGTTTTGGGATTCAAACATTAAGGTTGTGTATTTCTAATTCTTTGGAGTGTTAAGGATTTCATAAATATGATGAATTACAATGATTTGAGCAGTTGAGCAGTGTAGGGTTTAAACTTGATTTCATGATTAAATGATAATTTAGATGCAAATAAGTTGTTTTTATGCCACTTTATAACCCTATGTAACCCCTTAAAGCTTTAGCACATGATTGGGAACCAAACTAAGGCCGTTGAGATGATTTTTAGGTGTTTTTTAAGCTCAAGTAAGATATTTCTGGGTTCGAGTATCGATACTAGATGAATTGGGATGAAATCTAGTCAATTTTAATAGGGAGTATCGATACCAAAGGTAAAATTATCGATGCTAATCCCTTAGTATCGATACTGAGGGTTTTATTATTGATACTTGATGCTCCGTATCGAGATTAGATGCTCAATCTCGAGACCTCTGGTGTCTATACCGAAAGACTGGTCTCCACACCAAAGACCTGATATCAATACCTAAAGTGTTTGAGTGACTTCAAGATGTCAAATAGACTTTAGAGTAGGATTTTAATATCGATTGAGATCGAACATCTAAGAATCAAGGATCGTTACAAATGGTATACTGGTAAGCGGTATGATGAGATAATCAGATTACAAAATAACGAGGTTTGTATAGGAAAAATGTCAATGAATGGTGAATGCACAAATGTCCCTCCAATACGAGGGTGAATTGATGGAAAGCGTGGTAAGAGCGATTAGAGTATTGCTAGCTAGTAATGAACCCGAGTCAAGTATCGGGCTAGGAAGTATCACAACTAGTAAACAATAGACACAATAATCATCGAAAGAACACAAAACACATAGAGACTCCTCTAGAGATAGAGAATGCCTAAACTGCCCTCAAGTAATGAATAATCATGATAGAGCAACTTAATAAACCAACAATAGTTACAGACTTATAAACCTTCGTAAAACATTCTAGATAAGAGAACGAGCTAAATAGCAACTATTAAAGGGTTGATCTCACTTTAGTGTGTTGAGCTATACTAGGGTATAGTCAGACTACCTTAGCTACCCAAGAAGGCATTGTCAGTACGCAAGGCACTTTAGTAGCTGACTAGGATGCTAGGCCTGAACATTCACAATAAGTGGGTTACCAATGCCATTGTTGTGTTGCCTTTGGGCCTTAGATATACGTGTATAATTACATCAATCTAGTACAACATATATCCTTAAAGTTTATTTTAACGGCTGTGTGAGACCGATCCAATGCTTCAGTAGACAAGGAATTATTGGTTGCTATGTGATGACCAGGTTCCCTCTCAATGATCTACCTGATGGTTATGTGAGGACCAGGAGATCATTCAAAATTTAGTAGAAATTGGACTAATGTTATGTGACACTGGGTTCCTTCTGTTAACTAGTATCTGATGGCTATGTGAGACTATATATTAGTCAATATTGCATTTTGATAATGGATGGCAGAATCAGTGTCGCATTCAGATAATGCGTAGCAGTTACACTCATTAGAGTTAGAGACCCTTTAGTGGTTTACTCATAGAGAGGCCCTTAGTAGAGGATTAAGGGAAGTATGAAACCTCTACCTCGGTGATAGAATAGACAAGTCTTAAGCAGGTAGCAGTTGATCTAGATCATGCATGTACGTACTGCTTAGTATCATGTCTTCAGCATTCTTATATTTATGAAACTCTTAATGTTGATCTAGATTAGTGATTATATTGTTGTGCTTTGTAAGATCAACCTTCGAATGTTTTCCGTTGGGAGGTTAATAGTTGAGAAGTTCATGGAGAACCATCGCAACAGGACTTTCATCATCTCCTTTAAAGTCATGTACTGTAGCTTTAGTGGGCATATGTATTCATGAAATCTTACTTATATATTTGAGTTGTAAACCCTCAAGATGTATTATTTTGATTTTAAATTATGTGTCATGGAACTCTAGTTTATAAAATGTTTTAATAATTGTTTTGTATGTTTTATGATACCATTCATAATGTTTGAAAAGAAAATAAACATGTTTTGAAAAATCAGAGATTGCTTCAACGACCCAATGTGACACTCTAAGCTCATTCGGGTTTAGGGTGTTACACCTACCGTTAACATTTAACGGAAGTGTCTACGTGGTAGTTAATAAAATTGGTATAATTAGGACGTAGGTCCTTGTAAAGTTACGTATTTGTGGCACTGAAACCCTACTTTGTTTTCTTCTATTTTGGTTACTACTTGTATATGATTTGTTTCCTTAGAATTTCATTTAATGCAATTTGATCATGATTATGTTTTTAATTTGTTTAAAGCCTTAATTTGAGCATTAACTTTAAAATCTTTTATCCTACTCATGTACTATATTTATAGATTAAATCCCCTAGATTTGTGAATTAATTAATGATCACCGAGATTAACTTTAATTCTTAATTTTTAATTAGGTCACAATTTCAATTTAATTTAATAAATTTATTTCTCCAATTAAATTGTTACACATGTTACAATCTAGGTTTTATAATTTTAATTTAATTAATTTAATAAATTTTTTAAACTAATCAGAAGCTGACATGTGTCACCTTTTGAATTGAAGTGAAAATAAATGAAGAAGAGTTTTGACACTCAAGGGTTACTTGTGTATAACATCCCAAAAACCGGGCTAGTGACTAAAGTGTAAGATTTTAAAACTTTTTGGTCAATTTTGATAAATTGAAAATTGAGGGACTATTGGTGTAGGTTGATTAACAAGAATTGAAAGATGAAAGGGCAGAACGATCATTAGACAAGGAAATGAATTAAAAATTCATTAGTGGGTGTATTATATACACGTAGAGGATGAGAGAAAAAGAAAGAAAAATCTGGAGACTTATTTCTTTTCTTTATCTTTCTTCCTCCTCTCTATCGTGACTCCATAGCTAAGGTAAGGGATCTTTAAGTTTCTTGTACAATTTGAATGGTTTTGATTCTTGGAGTGTTAGGAAAGCTTAAGAAAGCTTAAAGAGAAGTAGAAACTAAAAGATTTACAAGTTATGGGTGATTGAATATAAAAGGGTTTTTGAGTGAATTGATGAGAAAGAGTTAATAATTTAATTCTGAAATCATATTTGACTTGTCATAAGCTGGAATAACAAATTTGAAGTGCTAGAAATAGATTTGGGGTAAGTTGATTATTTGGTGTGAATTTTGTTTCCAAGCGTTCTAGTGAGATTTTGGGTGTTGAGGAGATTTAAAGTGAGACAAGTTAGTTTTAATAAGCATATTGTAGTTTAAAGTCATGAAGGAGTTAAAAGTGAGGGTTTCAACTGAGTTTTGGTAAATTTTTGAAATGAAAAAGGTGATTTCTAGGTAAAGGTATCGGTACTGGATGAACAATACCTATACTTCAAAGCAAAAATGGGTGAAATATAGGTTTGAGTATCGGTACTGGAAGAACAATATCGATACCATAAGGTAAAAGGGTATGAATCCTTTAAAAAGTTTGATACCGAAGGAGTAGCATTGATACCAAGTGTATCGATACCAATTGACAAATATCGGTACCATTTTTAGAAACAAAATTTCATAATGTAAAATGGGTATCGATACTGAAGTATAGTATCAATACCATAGTGAGGAATTATCGATACTAGACCCGGGGTACCGATACTATTCAGAATGAAAGTGTGAATTAAATGTTTCTTTTGACTTAAGTTATTGATGATCGATAATAGTGATTCGAATTCCGATATTCATATCGATCGTATAATTGTGTAGACATTGAACGAAAGCAAGTTCCAGACGAATCGACGATATAAGACTGACCAAGAGAGAGATAAGAGTTTTGCTTTGACTAAGTGAGGCTAAGGTAAGTTCATACTATTATATATATTATCTTATGGAAAAAAGACTTGCAATGAGTCTATTTCCAATATTTTTATTACATGATTACATGAATATAATCATAGTTTTGATTCTGTTATTGTGTGAACATGCATTGTTTATATTTTATGCTATATGATACTGACCTATGTGATTACATGAAAATGAGATATAAGGTATGTGGCATTGACCTATATGATTATATGAAAATGAAATATAAGCTATGTGGCATTGACCTATGTGATTACATGAAAATGTGATATAAGTTATATGACAATGATCTATGTGATTATATGTCTATGTGATATAAGTTATGTGAAATGTTATAAATGATAAAGCCCAAAAGTATGTGATATGAGAGCTAAAGGTATAATTGGCATGCCAAGAGTCGAGGGTTCTACGTGGTACTTTAGGATATTTTTACGTTGTCCTTGGGGACATATCTATGTGGTCTTTTGGGACATTTCTACGTGGCACTTCGGTGCATATTCTACCCGACACTTCAGTGCTATTTATACGAGCTGTGGTGACAGCATTAGTGCACAACCTCAATGCACTCACCTACCTTAAGTTCTCAATGATGTACCATAGGCTATTAAAAGAAATGATATAAAGGAACAATGTATGATGATGATGATGATATATATATATATATATATACATGTATGGTTTTGTTCTATGATGTGTTCTATGGTTTATTTATATGATTTTATGAAATGCTTAAAATATGATTAAGTGTTTTAATGTTTCATTACACACTTTATATGCCTTACTAAGTCAATGACTTAGCGTGTGAGTGTTTCACACATAGGTTCAAAGACGCAAGAAGATCAAAGCTAGGACAAGCTGGGCTGCATATCATTACCGAAGATCAGATCAGAAAAAATTTAACAGTACGTGTTTTGTTGTATTTATGTAAATTATTAAACTTTGTCTTTAATTATAAGTTGAATTGCATATGCTCTGATCCGATTTTGTAAAAACATTTTATTGTATTTATGTAAATTATTAAACTTTGTGTTTAATTATAAGTTGAATTTCAGTAATTATTTTCATTAAAGGGTTCCACCAATTTGATATAAACTAAAATTTTAAATTTTTAACTATCTTTTAAAAGTAAACGATTTGAAAAGTCAATGTGACACCTCAGATTTGCATCCGAAGTCAAACAGTGAAATTTTCTGATCTAATAGGTAATGAATATGATATTTTTCTAATAGAGTAAATGGTTATATCTTATTAGATGTCTGACCTCGAAGGCTCTCGAAGTGAAGCGGGAGATGAAAGACATGAAGGTAGTAGTAATTCACCCGCCCTGGCCAGGCAAGGTAAAGAACATGCACCTCAGGGAGTACCTGTACAAGATTAGGGGTGTTTTTCAGGACGTTGGACACTATTCTGACATGTTTCCAACTGCATACTCCCTCAAATCCTAGAATAAATATAGCGAAAGAGTTGAAAGGATTAGGAGCTCCAGAATTCAAGAGTGAATATGAGGAAGGTCCTGTTGTTGCAGACCTTTGGTTAAATGATATTAAGATCATGTTGGAGGGTCTCCACTGTTCTGAAGTGGAAAAGTTAGATGGAGTGTTCTATTGGCTACGAGGGCAAGCTCGGGTATGGTGGACTAATATCACAATGAGAATGTCAAGTGACCAAGTGGCACGGTCTTTGTTTTGTTATTAGAAGAGTTCAAGCACAAGTATATTGAGGACCAGTTTATTAGACAAATGAAACAAGAATTTATGAGCTTGAAGCAAGGAAATCATATCGTGTATGAGTAGGAATGTGAGTTCAATAAGTTGAGTAAATTTGCTGCTGAGCTAGTTCCTATTTAAAATGATGCTTGTGAGTGGTTTGTTGAGGGTCTGCACCCCAGACTGAAAGAATTATGGGTAGTTTTGAATATGTCTTCATTTCAAGAAGTGGTCAATCGTACTAAAACTCTAGAGAGAGCTTAAAATGGGAGGTTTGGAGGAAAAATAGCTCAGATGTCTAAGAAAGCTGGTGCTTCATCAAGTTCACACCATCAAAGAGAGACATATATTCTAGTTTTCGATCTCAAGATCTGAGTCCGTTGTATCCTCTACTAGAGGATCAAATCCTATGAGGGCAAGACAAACTCAATTAGTAGGGTCTGGAGCTAGTAGATCTAATCAAAGTCAATCAAGGCAGTGTCAGCATTGCGAAAAGAATCATACCGTAGTATGTCGGGTAGTATCCGGAGCATGCTTTAGATGTGGGGACGCCAGACATTTTATCCAGGATTGTCCAATGATGATCGGAGAGACTGCATAATCCGAGCGATCTACTTCGGTATCTTAGAGAGGTAGAGGACAATGAATAAATCAGTCTGAGTCATCCACTCAACATGAGATGTGTTAAACTGCTCGGGTTTACAGCATAAAGACTAATGAAGAATGTGATGATGATGAGATCATTACAAGTACTTTTCAATTATGTGATAAATTTGTTTTGGTATTGATTGATCCGAGATTGTCCTATTCATATATTAGTAGTAAATTGGTGGGAGAATTGAAAATCCAATTAGAAGCAATAAGTAACGATGTGATAATGACTAACCCATTAGGGCATAGTGCTTGGGTAAATCAAGTGTGTCGAGGGTGTCCCATAAGGATTCAGGGAATTAAATTCCCTGCTAATCTGATGGAATTACCCTTTGACGAATTTGAAGTAATTATGGGAATAGATTGGTTGTATAATTATCATACTAATGTTGACTGTAGATTGAAGAGAGTAGCTTTGATAGGTCTAGAGGGATTAGAATTTATTGTGACCAGTGAAAGATTTAATCTGTTAGCTAATGTTATATCGATGATGTCGGCTAAGAAGTTATTATTACAAGAATGTCAAGCTTTCATTGATAATGTGAATAAGGAGAGAATATTGGAGGATATTCCAACAGTCCGAGTCGTTCTACAAACTCTACGAGATAAGAAGCTATATACTAAACTGTCTAAGTGTGAAGTTTGGTTAATTGAAGTGGCATTTCTTGGCCATGTGGTATTTACAGATGGAATTTGGGTAGATCCTCAGAAGATAAAAGCCATATTAGACTGGGAAATTCCAAAGAATGTGTCAAAAATTTAGAGTTTCATAGGTATTGCAGGTTATTATCGAAGTTTCGTTAAAATTTTTTTGATGATAGTTTTGCCTTTGACCAAGTTGCTAAGGAAAAATGTATCTTTTTCTTGGACCCCTGAATGTCAAGAGAGTTTTAAAGCGTTAAAGAGAATTTTGAAAGAAGCTCCATATTGGTCTAACCCGAATCTAGCAAGAACTATGTGGTTTACAGTGACGCGTCCCATAATGGCTTGGGATGTGTATTGATGCAAGAAGGTAAAGTAGTGGTATATGCATCGAGGCAATTGAAACGACACGAGAAGAACTATCCGACACATGATTTGGAGTTGGCTGCAGTAGTGTTTGCTCTAAAGATATGTTGTCACTACTTATATGGTGAACGTTGCTACCTCTACACGGATCATAAGAGTTTGAAATATCTGATGACTCATAAAGAATTAAATCTAAGTAAATGAACGTGGACTGAGTTTCTCAAAGATTATGATGTAGTCATTAATTTCCATCATGGGAAAACAAATGTGGTAGTTGATGCTCTAAGTCGGAAGACATTCTCAGCTTTATGAGATTTAGATGTGAGGTTGTCATTATATGGAGATGGTGCATTATGTGCGGAGTTAAAGCTTAAGCCAATGTTGTTGGATCGAATCCAAGACTTATAAAGTAAAGATGATAAGTGTTTGAAAAGGATAGATCAAGTGGAAAATGAAGAAAATAAGGATTTTGAGGTTAAGCTCGATGAAAATTTATATTATCGTGGGAGTCTTGTTATTTCGAATAATGAGGAATTGAAGAATGACTTGTTGACAGAAGTTTATTGTAGTCCGTTGACTATGCATCCAGGTGGAAATAAGATGTATATGGATCTTAAAAGTCGTTATTGGTGGTCAGGAATAAAAAGAAACATTGCAGAATTTGTGTCCAAGTGTTTGACGTGTCACAAGTCAAAGCTGAGCATCAAGTTCCTTCAGGATTGTTGCAACCAATCTCCATTCCTCAGTGGAAATGGGAGAATGTAATGATGGATTTTGTAGCATGGTTACCTTTGACTCCGAATAAAAGAGATTCAATATGGGTGATAGTTGACCGATTGACTAAGTCAGCACATTTCATTCTAGTCCGAGTTGATTTTTCTATGGATAAGTATGCTAAGCTGTATATCAAAGAATTCGTTTGATTGCATGGTGTGTCTATTTCGATAGTTTCTGACCGAGATTCACAATTCACATCGAGATTTTGGAAGACTTTGCATGGAGCGCTAGGAACTCGATTGAACTTTAGTAAAATCTTTCACTCTCAGACAGATGGACAGTCCAAACGGACTATACAAATCCTAGAAGATATGTTAAGGGCATGCGTTATCGAGTTCAAGGGATCTTAGGAGAAGTATTGTCACTTGCCGAATTTGATTATAATAATAGTTATCAGTCGAGTATTAAGATGGCTCCCTATGAGGCTTTATACGGGAGGAAGTGTCGTACACCATTGAATTGGCACGAACTCAAGGACCAGGAAGTTCTTGGTCCTGACTTGATTAAGGAAGTAGAGGAGAAAATTTAAGTGATTCAACATAATCTTAAAGTGGCATCCGATAGACGTAAGTCATATGATGATCTAAAGAGAAAAGAGATTGAGTTCGATGTAGGGAATAAAGTATTTTTTAAAAGTCTCTCTTTGGAACAAAGTATTACGTTTTGTTCGAAAATGAAAACTTAGCCCCATATTTATTAGCCCTTATGAGATTGTTATGAGAGTGGGACCAGTGGTATATCAGTTCGCTTTACCACCGAAAATGGAGAAGATTCATGATGTTTTCCATGTTTATATGCTTAGAAGATATAGATTTGATCCATCTCATATCATTACACCGAAAGAGATAGAAGTTCAACCTAATCTGACTTGTGAGGAAGAACCAGTACAAATCTTGGCATATGAAGTTAAACAGCTCAGGAATAAGACGATTCCATTAGTGAAAGTTTTGTGGATGAATTACAAAGTAGAGGAAGTAATATGGGAACGTGAAGAAGATATGCGTAGACAATTTCCCCATCTTTTTGTGCAATCAAAATTCGAGGACGAATTTTCTTAAGGGAGAGATTTGTAACATCCCAAAAACTGGTCTAGTGACTAAAGTGTAAGATTTTAAAACTTTTTGGTCTATTTTGATAAATTAAAAAGTTTAGGGATTTAATTGGAAATTATTGGTGTAGGTTGATTAACAAGAATTGAAAGATTGAAGGGCATAGTGGTCATTAGACAATGAAATGAATTAAAAATTCATTAGTGGGTGTATTATATACATGTGGAGGATGAGAGAAAAGGAAAGAAAAATCTGGAGACTTATTTCTCTTCTTCATCTTTCTTCACCCTCTCCACCGTGACTCCATAGCTAAGGTAAGGGATCTTAAAGTTTGTTATTTCTTGTAAATTTGACTGGTTTTGATTCTTGGAGTGTTAGGAAAGCTTAAGAAAGCTTAAAGAGAGGTAGAAACTAAAAGATTTACAAGTTATAGGTGATTGAATATAAAGGGGTTTTGAGTGAATTGATGAGAAAGAGTTAATAAATGGATTTTGAAATCATATTCGACTTGTCATAAGCTGGAATAAGAAATTTAAAATGTTAGAAATGGATTTGGGGTATGTTAATTATTTGGTGTGATTTTTGTTTCCAAGTGTTTTAGTGAGATTTTGGGTGTTGAGGAGTATTAAAGTGAAACAAGTTAGTTTAAATAAGTGTATTGTAGTTAAAAGCCTGAAAGGAGTTAAAAGTGAGGGTTTTAGCTGAGTTTTGGGTAAATTTTCAAAATGAAAAAGATGATTTCTAGGCAAGGGTATCGGTACTGGATTAACAGTACTGATACTTCAAAGCAAAATGGATGAAATATGGGTTTGGGTATTGGTACTGGAAGAACAATATCGATACCATAAGGTAAAAGTGTATGAATCCTTTAAACAATATCGATACCGAAGGAGTATCATCGATACCAGTGGATAAGTATCGGTACCATTTTTAGAAACAAAATTCCAGAATATAGAATGTGTATCGATACTGAAGTATAATATTGATACCATAGTGAGGAAGTATCAGTACTGGACCTGGAGTACTGATACTATTCAGAATGAAATTATTAATTAAGTTCTTCTTTTTACTTAAGTTATTGATGACCGATTGATAGTGATTCGAATTTCGATATCCATATCGATCGTATAATTGTGTAGATATCAAACGAAAGTAAGTTTCGGACGAATCGACGATATAAGATTGACTAAGAGAGAGATAAGAGTTTTGCTTTGACTAAGTGAGGCTAAGGTGAGTGCATACTATTATATATATTGTCTTATAGAAAGAAGACTTGCGATGAGTCTATTTCCAATGTTTTGATTACATGATTACATGAATATAAGCATAGTTTTGATTATTTTATTATGTGAACATGTATTGTTTATATTTTATGCTATATGATATTGACCTATATGATTACATGAAAATGAGATATAAGCTATGTGGCATTGACCTATGTGACTAAATGAAAATGAGATATAAACTATGTAGCATTGACCTATGTGATTACATGAAAATGTGATATAAGTTATGTGACAATGATCAATGTGATTATATGTTTATGTGATACAAGCTATGTGAAATGTTATAAATGATAAAGCCCAAAAGTATGTGATATGAGAGCTAAAGGTATAATTGGCAAGCCAAGAGTCGAGGGTTCTACGTAATCCTTCGGGATAATTCTACGTGGTCCTTGGGGACATATCTATGTGGTCTTTTGGGACATTTCCACGTGGCACTTCGGTGCAATTTATATGAGATGTGATGACATCATTAGTGCACCAACTCAATGCACTCACATACCTTAAGTTCTCAATGATGTACCATGGGCTATTAAAAGAAATGATATAAAGGAACAATGTATGATGATATATATATATATATATATATATATATATATATATATATATATATATATATATATATATATATATATATATATATATATATATATATATAGTTTTGTTCTATGATGTGTTCTATGGTTTATTTATATGATTTTATGAAATGCGAATATGATTAAGTGTTTTAATGTTTTATTACGCACTTTATATGTCTCACTAAGTTAACAACTAAGCGTGTGAGTGTTTCACACGTAGGTTCAAAGAAGCAAGAAGATCAAAGCTATGATAAGCTGGACTGCATATCATTACCAAAGATCATATCAGAAAAGATTTAACAATATTTGTTTTGTTGTATTAAATTTGGTTGGCATATAGTTAAATGTTGAATCGCATATGCTCTGATCCGATTTTGTAAATACACTTTATTGTATTTATGTAAATTAGTAAATTTGTGTTCAATTATAATTTGAATTTCAGTAATTATTTTAATTAAAGGGTTCCACTAATTTGATATAAACAAAAGTTTCAAATGTCTTTTAAAAGTAAAATATTTGAAAAGTCAATGTGACACTTCAGATTTGTATCCGAGTCGGATACGGGTTGGGGGTGTTACATTGTGCATGTCTTTATCACTAAGCTAATTCTCACGCTTGTTATTGAGATAATACATATGTTATATAACTTGTTCAAGTTTAGGCAGAAAAAAAATTAAAATAACTTAATTGGATTTGAACCCAAAATGAATGAGTTGCCAAACAAGCCTTAACCAATAAGCTAAATCTAATATTTAGGAATTAATTATAACATTATATATATATATTATAGTTAATGATAAAAAATAAAAACGGATAAGTGAGAACTTACATCTAGGCCAATTCAGAATATGATTAAGTTTATTGTTTTCCTATTTATTTTTAAATATTTTTAAACTTAATTTATTATTTTCATATTTATTTATTTAATGATTATATATATGAAATTATTAAAAAATAATTTAATATTCAAATTATAATCATAAAAAAAAATTTAAGATTCAAATTATAAATTTGTCTTTTAATTTTAAATAATGCTCAAATTAAAGCATTAAACAAATTAAAAACAAAATCAGGATCAAATTGCATTAAATTAAAATACAACGAAACAAATCATATACAAGTAGTGACCAAAATGAAAGAAAACAAAATAGGGTTCTAATGCCACAACTACGTAACTTTACAATAACTCATGCCTTATTTATATCAATTTATTAACTTTCATGTTAACACTTCTCTTAAATGTTACTTGCAAGTGGTTATACTGAAATCATTTAAATAATTCAATAATCATATTGATATAAATTTAAACATAGGGTCATTTCGAGACCAACCTTATACTTGGGTGGTCATTTATATAGTTTGCCCTATTTATAAAGACAGATAGAATTAAGCTTAATAATAACGTAGCGAAGGCGGAGAGTTGGGGAAAGTGAAGGAAAGGAAATGAACCACAATCCGCAATCCAGCGACGGGAAGCACGATGACGACTCTGCCCTCTCCGACCTCCTTGCCTCTCTCATGGATTACACTCCCACTGTACCCTATCTTTTTCTCAATAATCAAATCCACCTTCCTTTTAAGCAGCCAATTCTTCTTCTTCTTCTTCCTCTTCTTCATGTTTCTAATGATTTCTCAACTTTCTCTGTGGTTGATTCTTGGCAGATACCTGACGAATTGGTGGAACATTACTTATCCAAGAGTGGTTTTCAATGCCCGATGGTCGATTGTAAGTGCTTCTCCCCCCTCCCCTTTTTCTCTTTTTAGTTCTCATTTATGATCTTTGTATGCCTAACCTGAAATGTGTGGAAAATTGTTCCTTTCTTGGTTCTCTAGGGTTCCGAGAAATGTTTTAGATATTTTATCCTACTTTAGCTGATTAGCTTTGCCTAGGGTTACGTATCTTTCTTTTAGTTGGTTCTAGGGTTCCCAAATATTTAAAACTTTTATGACTAGCTTGTCTATGTATGAGTTATTTTGCTTGGATCTTGGGGGTCTTGGGCAGTGGATTCTCTTTAATTCGAGCATTCTTTTACAGTACACAATATGGATTGAGATGTCGATGTATTATTTCCTTTTTGTGTGATCCAGTTTGATTCTTATTGGGCATTTGCAGAATAAGGCTTGTTTCTGTTGCTACTCAGAAGTTCGTTGCCGAGGTTGCAAGTGACGCACTTCAGTATGACACCCGGAACATTTGAATTATCCCTTTTTTGTTCTTTAAACTACGAATAGAGGAAACTTTGAAATTTATTGATGTTATATATCAATTGGAAGTAAGACCCATTGTGGAGATGACCAAATTCTAGTGTTCTTAATTTATGTGGATTCATTAAATATTTCTTTAGGTGCAAGGGGAATATGTTAAACAACTGAGTAACCTCTTGATTAGTTTAAGTTTGGATTTCGTCACGTTTAATTCATTAAGTTTTCTTACAACATTTTACCCTAATGTTAGGCATTGCAAGGCAAGGCAGGCTGCAGTTGTCAAGGACAAAAGGGATAAGCAGCAAAAGGTGATCACTTATGTTTGTTTTTAAAGATTCCTGGCTTGTCTCTCTCTGTTGGAACAGGATAAGCGCCTAATCTTGACGATGGATGATCTCTCAAAATCATTGTGTGAGGTAGGCACTGAAATTTATACTGCCTCTTTTTCTGAATGCCAATGGTTATTTTCTGATTTCCCTAGTTTGTAGTTGAGTGAATGGAATTTTAGCACATGTTAGAGCATTAAGTTGTAGCCTCTATAACTAAATAGCTCATTCAAGGGAATTGTAATTGCTCATCGGGTTACAGATCATTTGAGCACAGATGTTTGAGCATTATATTTTATCGTATGTAGGAGCTGATTGTTCTTTAACATTATATCGTCATAGTTACGATGAGAGATGTGTGATGTAGCTGCTTAGGCATACACAGAATATTCTAATAACTAAGTGGGTTTGCGAAGCCTTTTGATGACGGTCAAAATTTTCTCATTCGCATTGTTTATGTCTTTAATGAATAAGAGTCTTGATTTTGCTTAGCATTTTCATTTGTATCGGGAAGTAATTGTTTTACTGTGTTTGAATGAGCAGTATGGGGTGAATGTGAAGCATCAGGAGTATTTTGCTGATAGCCCATCCACCGGGATCGATCCGGCTTCTAGAGAGGAATAGTTGGAGTTGGACATGTTATTACATGTTTGTATTTAGTTGATCTATCTTTTTGAGATGCTATTACTTGTGCTACCATAACATGCTGCCCACTTCTCATCAACATAATGTGTTGCCTGTTGAATATTAGGATGAGTAATACATAGGACAATTTGTCCAGATTAATGATTCTTATGAGCGACCAAGACAATTTGTCCAGATTTATGATTCTTATGAGCGACCAAGGAAAGCTATTTAAGTTTGGTTTGTTTCTATATTCTTTATAGCATCATTTGTGATGGTGGTGCTCAAATGGTGGTCCTCACATGGAGCATGTTGGACCTTCACCTCCCAGCTCGATCTGATCATGGACTGAATCGGCCGAACTACAACATTCTAGCCCATGCCAGAGTCCCGATCATGGACTGCATCGATCTAACTACGCCTATTTCCGGAATGATTGTAATACTGAGAGGACTCAACATCTTCCAGGGAGGGAATATCCATGGTTTGAGTGAATGAGGAAGTTGTGGGTGGAAAAAATACCAACTCACCCCCACCTATTTTTTTTATGGTAAACTACTAGTACCTAAACTATTACTTTTGTTTTGTTTGGTACTTAAAATTTATTCTTTTCAAAATTATACCTAACATTTATTTTAGGCTTTTTTTTATGCACGTCATTAAAATTTTAAAGATGATGTTGACGTGTTACCATAAAGTTATGTCAAGTCATTATTGAGAAAAATAAAAAATGTCATGTTTGTAGCTCTGTTAATTTTTTAATGGTGGATGTTAAATTGAAACTTACGCGAAATGTTAGGTATATTTTGGAAAAAAAAATAAAGTTTAAATACTAAAATGGAATAAATTTAAAATATTAGATGCTAAACATGTTGTAGTGTTCCGCTCGTGCAAGTTTTGCTATAATATCTAAATTTCAACATCTTTTTCTTCCACTAATCCAATACCTTAATTCAAAACCAACTTTGATTTCCAATTTTTTTTCAGCTCAGCAAATCCGATTGTCTAATAATTCACTTGATTCATAATATATATATAAGAGACCATTGACTCTGAACTGCATTAACTATTGTTTTGGTGATTTTATTTTTGCTTGCAAGTAGCAAGTGGTCACTTGCTCTTATTAATATCTCTACAGATTTGAGTTCTTAAAGGAAACTCACCTAACAACCACATGATCAACAAAATTAAGATTTGAGACCATCATTATGTCTCATCACAAGTCAAACGTTATTGTTCCTCTCTTTTCTCCTGCTGAGCTGATGAATGGCTCAAGGCATGATGTCAACCCCTGCTAACGCCAAGATTGATACTCGTACATCTTTACAAACCCTGATTTTGTTCTATCGTCAAAATGCAAGTCAAGTTTGAGATTAAATACTTTTACTTCCGGGTATCTAAATTTAAATCGAGTTAATTTGAGTTTTGAGATGTAGGGAAGACATTCAAACTCAAAAAAAAAAAAAGTCTTCACTTCATCGAACAAGTTCTCCACCTCTTCCACAACACCCCTCAAAGGGGTAATCTTCAGTAATGGACACCGACCGAATCCAAGCTTTTTCTAAACTTGAATTTAGCTTTCATATCGACATGGTTATCATAAGTGCTAACTTTCTCACAAATGTATCACCACGAGCAATATTATGCACAACACGATCCCGATCATCAATGATAACTCCATCTTCGAATTCTTCATGCCCACGAAATTAAATTCTTTTCTACTTCACATAATCATTCTGCACACATTTATCTTGTTCAACAAAAAGTCTTCTTTTGCTAGATTTAATCAAGACGTTTTTATCAGTAACAACGTTATTTGACACATGGGATGAAACATTATTTGCATTATCTAAAACTGTTAATTTGACAGTTTTTCTCTACCCTTTCATCACAATAAGAGAGCCCTTGCAAATCTTCATAGCTCCACCTTCATTGGAGAATTTGTACCCTTTTTAAATCTAGGGTACCTAACGAAATTATATTTCTACTCAAATATGGAACATGTCTCACATTACCAAGTGTTCGAACAATCCCATCGAGCATCTTAATATTGATTGTGTCAATACCTACGACTTTACAAGATATATTTCCCAAAAATACATCATCTGTAGATACAACTTTATACGTCGCAAACCAGTCACGATTATGACTCATATGAAAACTATACTAGAGTTAATATCGACTCATCACTTGTTATAGAGTTGTCATCAACCGCAACTAGGAGTTCTCCGTCATCACTCCTCTGCTACACTGGCCTCACTAGATTTTTGGGAGTTTCACTCTTCAATTTCTCTCTTAATTTTATTCTATAACTTATAATACTTCGATTTAACATGACATTTCTTTTTACAAAAGTGACAAGTTTTACTTCGATTGGAAGATTTTGATCAGCCCCTTCCTTCACTACTGGAAGAAAGCTCGCATTTTCTTTCATGGTCTGAGCTAGTCGATCTATGCACCATGAGACCCTCTGTATGGGGCTCGAAACCAGATACAAGATGATTCATCTTGTCAAACTAGTGCAAGCCATTGTACACCTCTTCAAGAGTGAGTGTTTCAAGAGTCAATTTATGAGAATCGAGTCAATTCAAATTGTTTGAGTTTATGTTTAAATTTAATATTTATAATATTATGATATTATTTGATTCTAATTTAAACGATTTTCTATAACTATATACAATATATATGTATATATATATATATATATATATATATATAATATATATATTCTTCGTATTGATATAAGTATATCATGTATTATGTTGAGGGACTCAACTCAAATTTAAAAATCAATCCACTAATTATTAAAAATTTTAAGATATTTGAATTTTATTTTATAATTCTACTCAAATTTATAAACCACGACATGAGTTTTGTACACTCTAATTTGATGTTTTCTTATTTTTAAGTAAAAAAACTAAATTTGTGTTTGCTGGGATTTCCTTGAATTTCTTTAATATTCATTTTACTGTGATGCTTAATCTAGGTTGAATCCGGCTTATTTAGCACTGAAGATAATGTACATAAATTATTAGCCTAGAAAGTTTGATGTTGAGATTTGATCACTTCCACCCGTCAATTATACATAACTAAGCATATGTTATCAAAAAGATTTTCAAAATTTGCATATATTGTCCAATATAAGAAACCAAGAACTCCAGTTAGAATGATATTGACAAAGCTTAGTTTTTTTTATAAATAAAACGGCAAAATACACAAATGACCTTTTAACTAAGGTGTTATTTTATTGAGTCCATTGACTATTAAAAGTTATAAAATGGTCTCCTAACTATAGGGTATTGTATTATTGAGTTCCCTTACTATTAAAAAGTTACAAAATAGTCACCTGACTGTTCATATGTTTTAAATTGTCATTTTTCATTAAAAATTGATGGCAGTTTGAGTTAGACATTAAAATGTTGACTGAAATATGATAAAATTCGATCCTAACGTCTCAAACGGCTATCATATCACAATCATCATGTTATCATTAAGCTCAAACGATTGTCGATTTTTTAACAAAAATGACAAGTTTGGAACATATGAATAGTTGAGGACCATTTTGTAATTTTTAATAGTCAAAAGAGTAAAAAACAATGCCCTGTAGTCGAAGGACTATTTTATAACTTTTAATAGTTGGAGAACTCAACAAAGCGATGTTCTATAGTCAGAGGATTATTTATGTACTTTATCAAATAAAATTAGGCTTCCATTAAATGAAAAAAATAAGGTATAGTAAAGACAACACATCCCAACATAGTAATCCAAATGGCATGAAAAAATAAAATCAAAATCTTCCTTTAATTCATGTTTCATCTTCCCAAAAATTTAGCAAATACCAATAATCTTCATGTCTGTATACGAGCCTATATGTAATATTGATCAAGACGTGGAGATTGAGAGAATCAATATGGTAGATTGCTTCTCAAACAGTTACAAATGTATTGATAAACTGTTACAAAAAGGGATCTAACTACATAAGAGACCATCAACTTTTTCTGATCAAAAGATGCATTATGATGAATGCAACGCGAAATATCAAACTATTATACCGAGGACGATCAGAGCTCTGTTGGGGCCCAGAGGGGCCCCAACCCCTGTAAATTTTTTTATATTCGATATATTTTTATCTAATGGTATTTTAATTCATTTAAAAATAAGTATCAAATTAAAAAATAAAAATTATTAAATATTTTATAAGGTATGACCGAACTAAAGAAACATAATCCAATGTTTTCATTTTTTGGGTCTAATAACAATTTATGTCGTTGTAAGTTTAAATATTAGAAAAATTAGACATTGTATTCTGAATTTAAGATTAAATACCTAATAAACCATTGTATTTTCTTAAGAAGTTTAATATTTCGGCCCCTATCAATATATAATTCTGGTTCCGTCCCTAATACTGATGATTAAATCTTGACATAACATGTTATAAAAACAGACAAAAACCAACACTTTAAAATATATAAAAATAACTGAAAAATATTTATTTAAATCTAAATCTAAATAAAAAAAATTAAAAATAAGAGAGGTGACAAACGCTTTAGTTAATTTACAAATCATCCGATTGGTTTGATCTTATTTCTTTTACTTTGGTTTTCAGCTCCTTAACCTGCCAGCAGGTGCACTGGAAACATGGGCATATGACAGTGTACAGCAAATTCAGCTGCAACTGCTAACCCAAAACCATTTTCCAGAGTTGCTTTGGTTCCTGCCTGTAGAACCTCTAAGATCACCAAGAAGCCAAGAGAGGTTCATTATTTGAAACTTTTGAAAACCCTTACAATAAATTTACTACTCATATTTTTTCCTGCAGGTTCTTTTCCCATATAATGAATTTGTAAAACTTTTCAACTGGAGAAACCAGGTTTCCCTCCGTGTGGACTCTCAAATTGTGGGAACAGGTTCATCTTTACCATGCTTATATTTCTATGGCTAACCTACATATTTAGTACCCCAACTATTACTTTTGTTTCATTTTGGTCATCCAACTATTGCTTAGCATCTTCTTTAAACTACATATTTAGTACCCCAACTATTACTTTTGTTTCATTTTGGCCATTGAGTTCTATTGTTTTATTGAGTCCATCGACTAAAAGTTACAAAATGGTCCTCCAACTATAAGGTGCTATTGTGTTGAGTCCTCCGACTATTAAAAGTTA